GGGGGGGAGGCCGGGGGGGTGGGGGGGGGGGGCGGGGGAGCCGCTGGCCCAGCGCTGCCGGAGCTGGCCAGCTCCCACCAGGGTCCTCCCTGAGCCCCCTCTGCCCACCGGAGGGCAGGGACCCCCGGGAGGGAGGAGGTGCTGCAGCCCCTTCCCCATCGCTGGAGGGATGACCCCCCCATGCACGTGCAGCCCCCGGCTTGGCGGGACCCTCGCAGCCGGGAAGCGCCGCCGCCGTTATAAATAACTCGTGTTGCCGGGTGCCGCCGACCTCAGCCTGAGAAACGGTGCTCGGCCCCGTTTCGGGGGCTGTGGCTGAAAACTGCGAGTTTCTGTTTCCTTTGTGCGTGGGGCTGATGCTCAGCGAGGTGGCAGCGAGGCGGGGGTCCTGCGGGGGAAAGAAGGGGATGCTGGAAGGGAAGGGAGAAGCAGGAGCCCCCTGGCCCCCAGGCTGCCTTGCGGGGGGTCTCGCCGGCTTCCCCCCGCCTTTGCCCCGGGGGTGAGAAAGCAGCAGCCCAGACCCGCTCTCTCCTCCCCCCGCTCCCCAGGGACCCCCGTCAACCGGATCCCCATCATGGCCAAGCAGGTGCTGGACCTGTACATGCTGTACACGCTGGTAACGGAGAAGGGCGGCCTGGTGGAGGTGATCAACAAGAAGCTGTGGCGGGAGATCACCAAGGGGCTGAACCTGCCCACCTCCATCACCAGCGCTGCCTTCACCCTGCGCACCCAGTGAGCGGCGGGGGCTCGGCGCGGTGCGGTGGGCTGGGGAGGGGGCAACGCCAGCGGAGTCGGTGCTGCCCGTGCTCCCTCTGCCCTGTGCGGGATGCGGGGGGACCCCGGCCCGGGGATGGTGGAGAGGGAAGGGGTGGCACGGAGAGGGGGGTGGCACACGGGCAGGGGGGGCCCAGCCGCCACGTCCCCATCCCCATCCCTTTCCACCGGCAGGTACATGAAGTACCTGTACCCCTACGAATGTGAGAAGCGAGGGCTGAGCAACCCCAACGAGCTGCAGGCAGCCATCGACAGCAACCGGCGGGAGGGCCGCCGGCAGGGCTTCGGCAGCTCCCTCTTCACCTACTCGCCTGGCGGCACCCACGGCCTCCTCTCCTCCCCCAAGCTGCCGGTGCCGGCGCTGGGGCTGGCCTCCGCCACCAATGGCGGGTCCATCGCTCCCGTCCAGAAGATCAAGAAAGGTAATGGCTGCCGCAGGGTCCAGGCCGTGGCTGAGCCCCCTCCCGGCACTGGGGACACAGCCCCAAAAGGGGCAGAGCTGGGTGCCACGGGCTGGGGGGTCACAATCCTGTCCTCTCCTGGGCTCTGGGCACTGGGGCTTGTATCGGGGACCCTGACTCTGGTCACCCAGCTCTGGCTCCCCTTGGAGGGGCAGGAGGTGCTGGGCAGCCCCCAGTGCAGACCGAGGGGCCCCGAGCTGGCGTGCTGTGGCCGGGGATACCCCGGGGTCGTGGCACCCGTCCGTCCCCATCCCCTGCATCCCTGACCGCCCGCTCTGCCCCTGCAGAGGAGGACTCCCCCATCCCCATCTCCATGCCCAGCCGGCTCCCTGTCTCGCTGGCCGGCCACCCCGTGGTGGCAGCCCAGGCGGCCGCGGGGCAGGGGGGCGGCGGCCCCCCCAGCCC